TATCTGCGTCAACACAGCTCTCACCTTTACTTGCCACAGCGAAAATCTTGTATTGCGATCCAATAGTGGAATTTCACACTTCAACGAATTCATCCTTAAAAATTTTCAACCAAACCACAAAGAATTTGCAACACCCAAAACTGAAAACTTCCGAATGTGCGAGGGGCAAAACAGTCCAGAACTACAATTTTACCCAAAACTGAAATTGGACACCACCACAAGGTCCGTCTCGTCGTCCGGAGAAAACTGCCTGAAGACATTGTCGTCGAAAAACCCCTCACGTGCCGCCATGCGCCTTGCCGGAGTTCCACCTGCTGGCGACCGGCAGGTTATGCACCTGCGAACTGTGACCTTTTCTGGACCGTTTCTGCCTGCTGAGTCCACTGGTGGTGTTCGTTTCACCAAAAGGAAAGTAGTTTCACCGAAAAACGTACAAACAGATTCGATAAAAAATAAAAAAAAAAACTAGACAGATTCGTTTCTTGATTTTCTGGTAATTTTCAGACCAATTTCCGATCAGTTTCAGGCCAGAAATCCACCAATAACCTAGCTCTGATACCACTTGTTGGGACCGATGGAAACGAAACGCAAGAATTGAGATTTAATGGACACTAATTTGAAGTATAATACAAGATCGCAAAATATCACGAACAAGATTAAAGTAAAAGATGAATTAAGTAGAGGAATGACGAATTTTATTAATATGGAGAGAATTACAACTGGACAACAATAATGCTTTAATAAAACTGATAGAGGAGTCTTGTATTTATAGTACACTTGATCTAGCCCTAAAAGAGTTCCAAACAGGTAGAAATATATAATTCAATTAGATTCTTATTTGAGTCACACTTCTAACAGGTTCTGCATCTACCACATCACTATCACGTCTTCTCCGCCTTCTTATGATTCAATGGAACTTCGAACGTGGCATTGCCACCATGTGTTTGTTGTGTATCTGCCAACATATTTTCTCGGTATAAAACCTCCACGGTATCCCAGGGAAATCATGAAAAGATCATGTATTACTGTAACTGGAAGGTCATCTAAGGGCACAGGTAAAGAGTTCTTCTAGCTATCAGGCGAGGCGAGGAAGTTTTATTTCCATCAGAACCAGAAATCTCTTTTGAAAAACTCAAGGTCGGTTCTTCATCAAAAGACTGGCCAGCAATTCTTCCTAGTAATATGGAACCCAATAACAAAATGATTGCTAATCTGGTCAATTTAGAAGTTAAAGAATAAAAACTGGTCAATCCATCTGAAGAATGCCAGTAAGTAGGAGGAATAGAGGAAGCAACTGAGGTAGCTATTCTGTGGGAAATGGAAGTTGAAACTCTCATTAGTACATATATTTTTAATTTTTTGACGAGGGCTGGGGTCGGGAGCTGCAGAACCCCTCTTTAGTGTAGTAGTCAAAAACTAGTCTTTAGTGATATACCTTAGCCCAAGAAATATCAGAGTTCCGTTCCCAAAACAAATGAAATGCCACTCGTGTAATCCATGGGTGCTTGCTCTGCATTATTTTATGAAATTCAGCCATGAAAGTAGAAACAATACTCAGACAACCAGGTAGTCCAAATTGTAATGCTAATGCAACAGTATCAAAATTCTTGGTATCAACCTGTACTAAAACTCATCCATTGTAAGAAAAGATATTGCCAGGGAACGAGAGAGAATGAAGTATAGCCTAGTAAAATATAATCTTAATTTCTAAATTTTAGTTTAAAAAGCTTTATTTTCATAAAATATATGAAATCCTCATTATAAAACACGATTTTTTTAAACTCGTCAAATCGAACCTTATCGATTCCAAAATGCACTGCAAAACAAATGAGATGATTTTGCAAGAGAGTGGATGGTAAAAAATTGAATTCTTAGAGTTTAATTTACGTGTTTTTTTATGCATTAAAAGATATGGAAGAAAATAAGACGGAGGTAAGACGAGTCAATATTGAATAAAAGAATATAATTTGTTGAGATGAATTAGACGCCATTAAACATTATATTAACAAAGAAAAGAAAGTGGACTTTGCATTTTACTGTCCGCTAGAGTCTCGGATTACATACCCAAAATGCACTTAGAGTAGAATCTTACTGCGTTCTTTAGTGTTGCCAATGCTGCCATAATTCAAGCAGCAAGAATGTTGGCAGTGAGAGTCCCAAAAGGAATCCATTTTAACGATCCACCACGTCCATTAAAACGAGCTAAGAACCACCTGATCCAGACGCCAAGAAGTCCGACTATACAAGCCAAGAATAGCTGAGCATCCGTACTGTCATTGTTGAACTCGTGCTTTGCTAAAATCCCAAACACGCTCAATAATACACCAAAAAAATACCTATAAAAATGCCGAGAAAAGTGAACACCCAACGTCCTTCACGACTTAGGTCTAGCATTTTCTGATTCCAGCCACTAAATGTTGTAAGATTTCCCAAGAAATCAGTCGACAATCCAATACCAACTCGTCTGAAACTTTGATCATATCATCTTTGAAAACAACACCAAACCAATCCATCGAGAATGAACTAACTTGAAACAACGCACATAATTTGCAAGGTTATCTAAGAGAGAACAATAACTAACGAGCAATAACTTCATACTATTCAAGTAACAATTCTCATGTGTACAGTTCTTCTGACATGTTTAGTAAGGTGGATTAAATAGCACTATACAGTATGAAGAAATTGGACTCTTATACATTGTTATGTCCAGTGCCATCCAATATCGGATACCAAATTTGCATGTTCCACCCTGCAAGTAAAAATTCATGTAGTATCCTTGAACATTATATATCTCTATAATTGATTTTATGACATTGTACATATTACATTCCAAACACCCATGACTGCACTAATATTGAGTTCATGTGTATATGAGTGGTTAAACACGAGCATAACGGCAAGTTTTTTAATTGGCAGGGCCACCAATTGTGTGTGCTGTGTGTGTGTGTGTGTGTGTGTGAGAGAGAGAGAGAAAGAGAGAGATAGGGTGGGTGGGGGGGGGAAGGAAAAAAAAAGGGGGGGGGGGGGGGGGGGGGGGGGGGGCAGGAGACCATGTTTGAAGGAAGATCAGGGTACATATAGTTTTCGTCATTTGTAGCATCAATTACCTCTAATCCAAATAATTTTTTGAGACCATACCTGGTCAGAACCTGCAAAAAATATTACAAAAAAGGCTTTAGGTACCACAATTTCTATTAATTTTAGTGTACTAGATGGAGGATATCAGGGAAAAAATCATTTTCAAGCCACTGTTAGGGAACCTCATTTTCATTTATTGGTAAGAAATTTAATTCCTTTAAAAGTTCATTGAGTGTACAATATGTTTGAAATCGCGATTTGCTCTAAATCAAGCTAAGCACGGCATGAGTATAGAGGCCGAACTATCCACAGTACAATCTTGTACACTTTTAACAAATCTACAAATACTGCCGTTAAATGATACATGATATTACTCAAACTCACATTTTTGTGCGGAGGTATTGTTATGATTACATTGTAACAACGAACCTACAGTGATTCATCAATATTTTGATGAAGTTAAAGCATTGGATTATAAAATGATTCACAAAATGTTATAAAAAATATTATCGTATTTGATCTTTTTATTCATTTTCTTTTTGTTGTTGTTTTATATTATTAACAATAATCAATAAATTTATGTACTATATTCTTATATTTATGAAGAGAATAAATCACGTGTTACAATTGCAAATCTTATACCAAATAAGTATTGTTTAAGAGGTTAACACATTTATTTCATATTGTTCCATTATAATGACCAGAATTATAGAACATTAGTTTTTGATATTTTTAATTGTACAATTTATGCTTTAACTTGAAATTTTAGATTAATATTCATGATTTAATTTGTTAAACTGTGATTTTAAACTGAACCAAATAGAAAAAAGGTAGTTTTGATTGGTTTGGTTTAGAAATAGAAATGGTTTAGTTATATGTGAAAAAATTTCAAACTGTTTTAAATGGTTTGGATTGAAAATTTATCACGAACATTCTAAATCGAGTCGTATTCATTGAATAATCATGTTAAAAATTATATTAGTCATTATGTTTGTATAGCATGATTGTTTTTCATTGAATTAAAAGACATTGAATATTTATTATACCAAAAATATCCGCCGACACCAACAATTGAATTAAAAAGATCGGGCATTTGAATGCTCAGATTTCAAGTTAATAATTCAGTGCATGTGTTAGTTCTGATTTTTCATGCCAAGAAATCAATTTTTTGATTGTCATTTTTGACTTCTCCCTCATAAGAGTATTCATTTCTGTCAAAAAATCAGTTCGAGTAATCAGCAATGCTAAACAAGCCCTCCGTTGCTACAACCGCTGTAAGTAAGGGAGACATTGCAATTTCTCGACATTTCTCCATGTTATTTTCTACTTTTGTGGGGTAAGCAAGATTTACTCATGTGAAATCGCAATTGTTGGGGGCGGGCGACCGTGCTGCGGGAAGGGAAACTGGTGGCAGCAGCATAACCCAAAAAGTAATATCACATTTCAGAAAACTGTCGCGCATACATATATCTAAATATGAATTTTCATGTATAAGTGTTATTTATATACCAACTGTTTGTTGTTTTGCCTCATTGAAGTTGATTTCTCCATTCTAGGTACTCTTTTTTCCATATTTAAGTCAGATAGATGTGTGATTAACGGTGAAGCCTGTGTGTTTGAGCTGAGATGTCAGATGTTTCATTTTTTTCTGAAGAATGCGTCAGTTAATTTTATACTCCCTCTATCCCAATTATAGAGGATGTATTTCTTTTTTCATTTGTTCCAAATATATATGCTTGTTTCTTTTGTTTTGTTCCTTTATTAATACACCCTTATTCAATTTTTTGCACTAAATATGCCAACTTCTTGAAATCATCCAATTATGCACATTTCTCACTTCTTGAAAATATGAAACAAATCTCATTTCTTTTTCTTCGAATTAAATCATTCAAATTTTTTATTAATTTCAACAATAATTTACTACTACATACTAAAAATTAAATAGGGGTGACCTAGGAAAGATCTTGACAAAAATTAGTTTTCCAATAACATTAAAGAAGATTTCTTAATCCATGTGAAAAACGAAACAAGCCTATATAATTGGGACGGGGGGAGTATATTTTTGGCCCTTGGATATATTTAAGAAGAGATTGATATGGATTTTGCTACATGATGTATATAATTCAAAGTAAACGGGTTATTCGTAATGGAGTTGAGCCATATGGCTATTAAATAATATAAGATAAGATTAAACATTCAACTTATTTTGATTAAGTAAATAGATATTCAAGTTGAAGATCATGAATAATGCCACCCCAGCTGATGTTGCACTATATATATATATATATTCCTTATCAGGGTCAGCAATCATTTTCATGCTCGTGTAGAGAGAGGAATGATTTTCGGTAGTCAATGAATGTGAAGGATTGGAAATGGAGAAAGCTATAGCTGACTAATTCCAAACATACCATTTCATTTCTAACCAAAATCCATTTCTGTGTTTCCTTGAACTTTTCTCAATATGGGATCCTTCCTATTCTTCATCACATTTTTATCCTTGTTATCGGCACTCGTATATGGTATTTCCTATACAGAATTTGCATACCCAAATTTAACTGCTTCAAATTTCAAATTTGTAGATGCTTCTGGGAGTTTTTTGTTCTCCCGTAATGGAACATTTAAAGCAGCTATATTTAATCCCGGTGCACAGCAAATCAGGTTCTACTTGTGTGTCATCCACGTGGAATCCAACGCCATTATCTGGTCTGCAAATCGCGATATGCCCATTTCGAATTCAGGGATCATGAGTTTGACTGCGAATGGTATAGTTTTAAGTGAACAAGATGGAAGTTTGAAATGGTCTACGCCACGGTTGCAATCTTCAGTATCTGTCCTACAGCTTGCAGAGACTGGAAATCTCGTCTTGCTTGATCAATACAACGAGACTCTATGGGAGAGCTTTGGTAATCCAACTGACACAATTGTGATTGGACAGAAATTGAAAGTCGGGACGCTGCTGTCCAGTGGAACATCAAGCGATGATTTGTCAACCGGTAGTTATGCTCTTGCTGTAACTACATCTGATGCCACTTTGCAGTGGCAGGCTCTCACATACTGGAAATTATCTATGGATACCGCTGCTTATACAAACCCAAATTACGCTGTGGACTACATGGCAGTTAACCAAACGGGTCTCTATTTGTATGGTTCTAATGGTTCTGTAGTGGTGGTTCAGCTGAACTTGCCCCCATCTAACTTTCGGATTGCCAAGCTTGACATATCTGGCCAGTTCATCGTCTGTAGCTTCACAGGAGCTGACCAAAATTTGAACTTTGTAGGGCCGGTTGACGAATGTCGAATCCCATATATTTGTGGGAGGCTTGGTTTGTGCACAAATGGTATTTCATTAAATAATCCCATGTGCTCTTGTCCATCAAGCTTCCATGGTAGTTCAAATAATACAACTAACTGTGTTCCAGGCAATAATTCTTACTCATTGGCAGTTTCTTGTAAGACAGCAAATAACAGCAATCATATGAATCCTTCATCTTTATCTTATATACGGCTTGGGTACAATGTGGACTATTTCGCTAATGATTTTACTGTACCTGCCAAGTATGGGGTAAATTTATCGGCATGTGAAGATCTGTGCTCGGGTGATTGTGCTTGCTTAGGAATTTTCTATGATAATTCATCTGGTTCTTGTTACGTAATTGAAAACGAACTAGGATCAGTTGTCTTGAGGACCAAGAGTAACGGCCGGCTAGGATTTATTAAAACCATTTTCTTAGCTTCACATACAAATCTTGGCAGTGACAAGGATTTTAGTAATGATGCACAAGGATTTCCTACAGCTGCTGTAGTACTGTTACCATTATCTGGTCTTATCCTTGTAATTGTAATTGGAATATTTTTGTGGAGAAGATCAAAGCTTCCCAAATTAGTGGAGGAGAAATCAAATCACTCAACCTTCCCCTTTTCTGGTGATCTTGAATTTTCTATCCCGGGATTACCCTTAAGATTTGACTATGAAGAGCTTGAGAGAGCAACTGAGAATTTCCAGACTCAGATTGGAACTGGTGGATTTGGAGCTGTATACAAGGGTATGCTCCCTGATAAAACATTTATTGCAGTAAAGAAGATCAATAATTTGGGTGTTCGAGGGAAGAAGGATTTCTGCACTGAGATTGCAATCATTGGAAATATTCACCATGTGAACTTGGTGAAGTTAAAAGGCTATTGTGTGCAAAGAAGACAATGGCTATTGGTTTACGAGTACATGAATCGTTGGTCACTAGACAAAACCCTCTTTGGTAACGGACCGGTCTTAGAATGGCAAGAGAGAGTTGAAATTGCAGTTGGAGTGGCACGTGGGCTTGCATACTTGCACAGCGGGTGTGAAAAAAAGATTATCCATTGTGATGTAAAGCCTGAGAACATTCTCCTGCACGATAATTTCCAGGCAAAAATATCTGATTTTGGGCTGTCAAAGCTTCTAAGCCCCGAACAGTCCAGCATGTTCACAACAATGAGAGGCACTCGTGGTTATCTTGCCCCCGAATGGCTTACAAGCTCCTCAATCACAGATAAAACTGATGTTTATAGTTTTGGAATGGTACTGCTTGAGATTGTAAGTGGAAGAAAAAACTGCTCATTTAGAGCACAAAGTCATAGCCTTGACGAAAATCATAGTGCTGGTGGCCATTCGTCATCTTCGTCTATACAGGAGCTCATTTATTTCCCGCTATATGCATTGGAGATGCATGAAAAAGGGCGGTATTTAGAACTTGCGGACCCCAGACTACATGGTCGAGTTACTAATGAAGAGGTTGAGAAGTTTGTGCTTGTGGCATTGTGTTGTGTTCACGAGGAGCCCGGTCTGAGGCCAAATATGGTAAGTGTTGTTGGGATGTTGGAGGGTAATTTACCTTCAAGTCAGCCGAGAATTGAATCGTTGAACTTTTTGCAATTTTATGGGCGTCGTTTTACTGAGGCTTCAATGGTAGAAGAAACCGGAGTTCAAGATGGGGTTACGCTGTATCAAGAATCAAATGCTTCTCATACTAGCACGAAGACAGTTTATGGTACACGTTTCTCTTATGTATCATCACAGCAAATATCGGGCCCTAGATAGTTGAAAATAAGCCAAAAGTAAATCGCTAGTCCTTACTTTTCCTGGATGAAAATGGTGTCTGGGATGGGTGACACACGGAAATTATTACGCTTTATACGCTCGCTTTCAGGACATCACGTCCGGCATAAGTTGCACTCGGGGATGATAGTTACTTCTATCAGGAAAACAGATCAGTTATGCTATTTTTGCATTTGATATTAGTTTGCTAGTGCTGTTCGTGCAGCATCTGAGTTGATTGTTGGAAGCTTTCCTGGTATTTATAATTTGATTCGATTTTGTAGTTCAAATAATCCTGTATCTCGAGGTATCTGGAATAGTAATAATTGGTGAAACAAAAACTTGTACATATTATTGAAGCAATTCCAATTTTTCAACGTGCTAAAATGAAAGTCTTTGTAACATTTCGAGGTTGGATAGAAAATAGTTAGATATTTGTTATTATTTTTTTAATAGGAATTGTCGAATATCAAAAGCTTCTTACATGGATGAATCTATGTTAATAAATTTAAATCTCTTTGAAGTGAAATCTCCTTGTTACGAAAGACTAAAAAATCTTTCTTGCGTATCTCTTCGTATCTTAATATATAAAAATACGTTCATATTGCAAGAAAAATCAAAGGGTCTAGTCAAGTTTTACGTACTCAACATACGTATCCATTGACAAGAGAGATGTTTTTTGAAGCTTGGGATTAATGAATTGGGGCGTTAGAAATAACATGATGTGATTTAATTACACTCAAATGCAAAAATAAAAATAAAAAAAATTAAAAATACAAAGAAAAGTGAAATGTATTATGTAAATGTAGCTTGAAATTTAAAGTATATTTTTGAATTGATTTTTATAAAATGAACAGTTAATCTGACGTGACATACTAATTAATAGCTTTTATGTTGACATTAGTAACCTGAGTGTCCACTAGTGTAACAAGTATAATTCAATGACCATTTTAAATTTTTTAACAAACTTCAGTGATCGTTGCTGAAATTAATCCTTATTTTTACTATTGAAAATAATAAGCAAATATAATTCATAAACTCATGTTATCATTTTGTTCAATTGATTAAGTCGAGTATATATACTTTGTATTTAAATTTTGATGAATTTAACTAACATAATTACATCTTTTGATTTATAATTTTTGGAGTTTATAAAAATATTTGCATAAAAATTGAGGTATATTTACTTTTTTTCGGAACAAATCAGCAAATAAAAATTTGCGATTAAAGGGTCTGTTCGATAATGATTATGAGAATTAATTTTTTAACTATTAGAGAGAAAAGTAGATTTCATCTGTGAGTGAAGAAGTAAAAAATAACAATTGAAATAATGTAATAACGGTTAAAATTTTATTTTTTTTGAGTGAAAAATTTGCACCTAACGGGGCTAAGCAACGCACCACCGATTGCCGACGTGGAAGCATATTATTGGTTCTGCTCACGCTGTTCTATTTGCATAGTCCAGTTATAATCGGACACATCAGAAATATAGAACCTAGGAAGCACATGAACCTCGCGTATATGATTTATTTAAGGCTCGAGAACAATATTACAACAAGAGGAAGACTCTGGAGAAAAAGTCGTTGCGGCTATGGCTTACGTTGAGAGAGGTAAATTTTTCTTTTTTTGTTTGATAACTTGATAATATTTTGTTTAATTAATTGGAATCGGGTGTTGTTTTTGCTAATATCGCGTAGAATTTGGTGCTAAGTATTTTGTAATTTATCATATTTTAATTGTCATGATCGTGAAATCCAGATGATGTGTGAAATCAAAAATCAGTATATATGTTTAATAATTGTCCGAGATGTAATGGGTTTAACGATTTCAGTTTATAATTTTACATAATTCATCACGTTCTTTTAGTTTTTCTTTTGCGTGCGTGAGAGGGAGACGCTGAATAAAATGATCCAGAGTCAGGTCAAATGGTAGGAACTCTGAAATTTTAATTTAAGCAGGCAATTTTGGTGGTGGGAGCGGGTGGGTGGTGGTACGCTGCGGGGGGATTGGAAATAGGCATTTGGTTCAGAACTGGATTATGGACAGCAATGTCAACCAGTAGGCTGTAGGTGAAAACATAGCAATATTCGTAGTTATATCCCAAGGATAGAAGCTTCTTCGGTGGAACCAACAAAAAAAGTGTAAAGGACTTGAAATCTGGGTGGATATTGCATGGGCTATTCTATTCAAAACTTTCCCAACAATACAAAAGAGCTTTGCGGATGTCCATGGCATGTTTGAATATAAAACTTGTTCTAATCTTCGATCAAGTACCCTTCTTATACGATAACAAAACTATGCCTTTTTTTGTCATAAATTTGGGGTCAGCTATGCGAATCATTACCTACTGGAAGATTTGAAGCAACAAGATCCCCAAACCAAATGTGTATTAAGTGCATCTTAATGTCATTAGTTTGACAAAGGTGAATGTTGGTTGTCAACCTACAACAATCCTTTACTTGGACATGAGAAGGGATAAAAAAACATAGGCACTATGTTTCCTTTGTTTGAAGAACTGAAAATTTAGCCAAGAACCTGAGGGAAATGAATATTGTGCACTTAAATCCTTCTAAGGGCAGAAGATGGCTGTTTATAATGTCATTTTAGATCCATTCATGAAACTTGTAAGTCATATTTTATATTAGTAAATCTGTCTTTTGTCAATTTCAAGCATGCTTATTCTTCAGTTAGATTTATACTCAAATATCCAATTCAGCCTACTTATTATTCAGAAACTGCAGCTTCAATTATTCTTTGATCTAATTGAAGTCTGGAATCTTATGGTACCTCTTTCATGACATGTACTCATGCATAGGTGTCAGACAGATGATTTAACATATCGACTTCATTGTCTCTCGCTGTTATCTTCTGTTTTTCTGGTTCACGAACAAACTGTTCTACAATGAGTTGTGAGATGTCATGTAGACTCACTATCTTCTTCTTTGGTATCTAATGATAGATGATAAGTTTGAATCCCTTTCAGATTTGAAGGCAAGGCAGTCTGGTATAGCAAGTTTAAATCAATTTTTGTAGTCTTGTTTCTTTCTTATTGGAATATGGTTTGAGGGGCTGGAGTTGAAAGATGTAAAAGAGATCTTACACTAGTTACTAGAAAATAGTGATACTTCCAGATGTCAACTTGGAATGGAATTCAAATGAATCTAGATTATTCAAATTCTGCCCCCTCAGCAGATTTTACCTACCAAGGAAGAGAATTTGGCCAACAATAGTTCACATAGATTCAGAAAGCCAAAGCATAAATTAAAGGAGTATAGTTGGGATATGATAACCTTGAAAGGAGATTGAATTACAAATATATTCATTACTCTTTATTTTTTTAAATATATTCTCCAGGTGTCGTCAAATCCAAGAAATCAATATGGCGATTACGGACAATCACAGATTTCTTTTGGGCAATTGTCAACTTCATTGGTGTATTCTTCACTACAATGTTTTCGGTAATCTTGAGATCTTCCCATGCGTAATTTCAGCAAATATGTGAATCATGTTCTCATTTTTTCTACATCTTCTGCAGATGGAAAAATCTGATGATTACAAGAAAGGATCGGGTGCCAGCAAGAAATGGGATGGTGGTGGTCCAGGAGGTCCTGGAAGCGGGCCATATGGTGGTGGTCCACGTGGGCCACCCCGTGGACTAGACAATGTTCGAGGGATTGACCACAGTAAGTCTTGTACCACCTCCCTGAATGAAAGAATATTTCAATTTAACTTTCTCCTCCTCCATGTTATTTATTTTTTACTGAATTCTTCGAATTCTCAATCCTCAGGTTCGCTTCCAGCATGTGGCTCTTGTTGTGGCTGAGGTGCCAAATATATCATCACTTCTGCCCATCACTATCGGGAAATTTTATTGAACCAGTGTGTATTGTTACCTAAAACTTATATATTAGGGATGAAACTATTTCCTAGTATGTAACCAAGTCCAGTTTCTATTTGGAAAACCATATTTCTATGCGTTTACAGAAGACAAATATGGTATATTACTGCTTTCCTGAAATGATCTCTTTTATTACACTAATTATATATTTCTTGCTAAGGTATGGAATCTAAATGGCCTATTCTCTCTACTGGAACAATGTAATGGATGAATACTCAATTTGTAAATGATCAACTGGGCCTATCTACTGGTTACAACGATCCTTCCCTACTCCGTGCATGCTGCTCGTTTAAAACCAAAAATATTTGTTTTGATGTCGATCCTTTTAACCTGTACGTGAATTGCATCTCTTGAAAGAAAAGCATACTTCCCAAGGAGCCACTGTAAATTCTCTCTGTTGTGTTCAAATGCCATGAATAAGCGAGAGGTTTTATACAATGTTAAATACTTGGAAGTAATTTTATACATTCCAATATGCGGTCAAGCTTTGCTGCATTAGATTGCTTACAACTTTGATGAAGTATTGAGTACATAACTTCTAGCAGCAATCGGAAGCAATCTAAATATCAAGGTGCCGTTTTTAAACAGTATAGCTAGCAACAACTTATCAAGACAGACAATGATGCTGAAGTATTCTCTAGTCACAGCGTAAATAGTATAATCAACCACAGCATTCAACCTGTGACGATGATCAACCACACTGGGATTGAGACAGCCAAAATTCTTCGCATGAAATTTGTATTCTATAGTTAATGCACCAGTCAATCATGTCTAAGATTTCTTCCACTTCCACAATAAATTTATTCAGCTTGACAAATCCATTACCCATATGATATAATAGCTCTGTATTTCGCGTTATCAGTTGGCATCTTCTCTTTAGTGATATCCCTTAGCCCAAGAAGGTACAGAATATATCAAAGTTCCCAAAATAAATGAAATACCAATTGTGATACTTGCATAAGCATATGCCATCCATGGGTTCTTGCTCTGCATCATTTTATGAAATTCAGCAATGAAAGTAGAAACAGTACTTAGACAACCAAGTAGTCCCAATTGTAATGCTGATGCCACAGTATCAAAATTCTTGGTATCAACCTGTGCCAAAACTCATCCATTGTTAGAAAAGGATATTGCAAGGGAAAGAGATAATGAAAGACAGCATGGTAAAGCATAATATAATTTTCTGATTTTTAGTTTAAAAGGCTTTGTTCTATGTAAAACGTATGAAATCCTTATTATAAAATACCATTTCTTTAAACTCGTAGAATCAAAAGTAATCGACATTCAAATCAATCGAGAAGATTTTGCAAGTGTGGATGGTAAAAAATGAATTTTTATTACAAGCTTTTGTGTGTATAAGTGAAGATAGAGAAGAAAACTAAGAGGTAAGAGGAAAACATATAACAGAGGAATACAGTTAGGTGAGGAGAATTAGACACCACTAAATATTATTAGCAAAGAAAAGAAAGTGAAATTTGTATATTATACCGTCCGGTAGAGTTTTATATTGCATACCCAAAATGCACTAGGAATGGAACCTTACCGTTTTCTTAAGGGTTGCCAATACAGCCATAATACAAGCAGCAAGAATGTTGGCAGTGAGAGTCCCCAAAGGAATCCATTTTAACGATCCACCACGTCCATTAAAACGAGCTAAGAACCACCTGATCCAGACACCAAGAGGTCCGACTATACAAGCCAAGAATAGCTGAGCTTCGGCACTATGACTGTTGAACTCGCGCTTTGCTAAAATCCCAAACACGCTAAATAATACACCGAGGGTCAATAACATCACCACCAGGCCTGTCAATAGGCAATGCCGTTCGTGCGAATTACAAATACTAGTGCACCTAGAGATGATACCATTAGAACTTGTATCCAACCTTATGAGAAGCCATTTAAAACCTTTGGCAGTATGAATTCCAAATACGATTGAAGAGGCAGCTAGTAACAAGCCTGAAATGTAAAATTGGGTTAAGTTAAAGGAAAATACAGCATATTATTTAATAGTTTTATGTTGCAATAAAACACGTCTATTCAATACATGATTGATCAGTTTAACATGCTCAGTACGTTTACAATGAACATGATATATATGATGCATGCTGTCTCTTATCATTCTATCGAACTAGTTAGTCTGTGCATGGACACAAGGACACGAGAACTGGCATATAGTGCATGCATTCAAAAATTACGAACATATCAGTTGCGCACTTATGTTTAGACACTAGTATGTTGACTCGACCTTGAGAATGTTCATTTGAACATTTTTCCGCTTGTTTCAGTTTCTTTTGAGTAAGTTCACAGGAAACCAATTCGTTCATTTGTCCTTGCATAATTATAAATGATTTTGATACAACAAAGTACCTATAAGAAAGCCAAGGAAAGCAAACATCCAACGTCCTTCGCAACTAAGGTCCAGCATTTTCTGATTCCAGCCACTGAATGTTGTAAGGCTTCCTAAGAAACCAGTCGACAATCCAATAGCCAACTCATCTGAAACTTTCGCAATATCATCTTTGAAAACAACACCAAACCAACCCATCAAGAATGAACCAACCTGAAACAATGCACATAATTTGCAAGATTATCTGAGAGAGAACCAAGTGATAAGAGCAATAACGTCATAATATGGAAGGAACAGTTTTCATGTGTACTGTGCTTCCGTGTTTGGCATGGTAACTAGACAGTACTATATAGTATGAAGAAAGGAAAAGAGGTTGGAATCTTGCCCATTATAATATCCAGTATCATCTAATATAGAGTACCAAATAAGCACATTATGTTCAACCCTACACGGAGAAATTCAGGTAGTATCTGGTTGAGCATTATCTATCTTGCTAATGGATTCGTGACATTGTACATATTACATTCCAAACACCCATGAATGTGAGAATCTTAAGTTCATATGCATGTGATTGAGGGCTCGACATGAGCAGCAGAAGGGCAATTGTGCTTGTGCATGTGTCTAAATATATATATATATATATAAAGAGAGATGTGTATATATATATATATATATATATATATATAGAGAGAGAGAGAGAGAGAGAGAGAGAGAGAGAGAGAGAGAGAGAGAGACCATGTTTGAAGGAACATCAGGATACATATAGCTTTGGTCACTTGTAGCACCAACTACATGTGGTCCAAATAGCTTTTGGAGACCATACCTGGTCAGGACCTGCAAAAGTATTACAAGAAAAGCATTAGGAACCACAATTTCAACGAATTTTTGTGGGACCAAATGGAAAATATCAGGAAAAAATCGTTTTCAAGCCACTGTCAGTTGCTGATCTTGCAATAAATGATGAATTTACAGATAAAAACCACCAGATGTAAAGGAGAATTTTTTCGGGTTAATAGGCAGGAAGCCAGGTAATAAAAACCACCAGATATAGAGCAGATATCAAAGCATTATGTACAAAAGGCAGAAGACACAGTCACACAGAGGAAAAGCATTTGATATGGTAATTTTAAGTTTTCAACAATTCATCCAGAGAATCTAAAAATTCGATCAAGACAGAGTGATAAGATTGTACTCTCCTGTTTATGATCAGGGATTGTCTTAATTCAAAATTCCAGAAAGAGATAGAGTATCATACCCAAACTTACTTCTGCTATGGATTTTACACTTTGTTATATATAATCCATATGAAATCACGGTGGATTTACACAAAATGATAAACAAGCCATCCAATTATACAATAGTATTTTGAGTTGATTACTCATAGTTAAAATACTATAATGCATCTATAGAGTTTTAAGATGCAAAATAGCCATTCTACAGATTTCAAGGTCAAATGATATATGCTAGAACATAGAAAATAAAAAGGTTAGTAATTAGTATAATACCCCAAGAATTCCAAATATTGCGAGACTGAGGAGACATAGGCCATACTTCAACAAACCTGGCGCCTCTTTCTCATGCTCCTGTGTACAAATCAATGGAAAGATAACTCATTTGTGCCAATTTCATCTTTCAAAATATTCATCCCAGTACTAGGTTTTATGGATAAAGTCCTACTCCCTACTTACGAGAGCAACAATGAACAAAAGTAAAATTAGAACAAGAAAACCACACAGATTTATGGTGATTTGCCTTTAATGTAAGAGCAACATCCATTATGCGACTTTAGGTTTTTACTATAATGAAGAACAAAAAAAAATGACCCCGTAAAATGCTTCATATAGAAGTCTCCACATGGTCCAACACCATCACCTTCTTGTTCAAGTTGAACAATGATGTTCCAAACTACTGGGACTACAAACCAATGGAAAAGAAGAAGAAAACTCACTTTCTTTTTATCTTTAGATGGGTGAATTGCATCAGTCGAAAGGGGAGATATAGTTTGCAAAGTTGATGGTGATACAGGGGAATCAGTATTCACAGCAGCATCTTCTTGAATGGGAACAACAACTCCATTTTCTATCACATTATCGAAAGAGAAACGGTGCCTCCCACTTTCGCTGTACCTACGGCTATAAAGTGCTCGATCCCCAATATCGCCTGCCTCAGAAATGGACTCACTTTCAACATCATCGTCCACTAGATGTTGGATTGCAAATGATAAATTTGAAGACTGCCTCCTCAAAGAAGAATTGGCACTACTTGCTCGACCAAATGATCCACTCCGTCTAGGTACAAACTCATGAGTCTCACGATCCATAATCCTTTTCTCGAGCCAGTGAAACTTCACAGATTTGTCGAAAATAAAATTCAATTAGCTACGTCCTGTAGATATGCAAGTTCAAATAGAATATCATCAGCTCAATTTTCTATATATATATAAGAAAATAATTCATATCACGAGATCTGACAAAGTTTTATGTGGTTACTGTCGTCCTATCGCAACCCTTCTCCTTTACCCAAGCTTAGGTCTAGCTATGAGAAAAAAGATTCATATCACACGACGTGACAAAGGTTTATGTACTTACTGTCATCCTATAGCAACCTTCTCCTTTACTCAGGCTCAGGACTGGCTATATAAAACATAGGTGGAGATTTGATAATGGTTGTATCATAAATGAATATACATAACTATAATCCATAATAAAGCTTTCTACAAAATGACATAGGAATTACAGTGACAAAGTAAATAGACTTTCCAGAAAAAAACATAAATCAACGAAGACAATTGCCAAATGATTCATGTTAAAAACAATCTGGATCCTAAAACTTCATGGTACGAGATTGAGCTAACTTATAAATCCTTCATGTCAGCACAGACAAGGACGAGTTATAGACTATAAACGATAAGTAGAATTGTGAAATATTAATAAATGTGTATTTCTATCACTTTTAAATAGAAAATAGTAAATGCCAACCCCCATCCTTACAGCACTGGCTAATTAAGTAATTAATAAACACTAGCAATGAGAAAATTATACAAAAGTACCCAAATAATGAGCCATATGTATTAGATCTTTATCTAATTCCAGTGACTACATAAACATAGTTCTGCTCTTCTATTAGTCAATAGACATACTGCAAAACAAGTATTAGCATGAATGTTACAAATTTTGCATTTGGAGAGAGGAAATCAAAAACAAAATCATTAATTTCATGTAGATCATTTTAGTTGATATTCTTTCTCAACCCCTACCCTCCAACGCTGCGACCCTACCGCTCTTCCCACTAGACCTGTCTGTTCGACTCATCATTCTCCAAGAGAGACCCTTCTAGAAATCAAATCAAGATTTCTCATCATTTTACCAAAGCAAAGTCCTTTTTATTAAGATTAAATTATTAAAGATCCTTTTTAACCAAAAAAATAAAAACCACACTAGGTTAGAATGAAACAGAATAGATTACATGAAAATGACAAATAAAATAGAATCAATATCAAAATTATGTTGGGAAAAATACTAAATCACGTAAATAAGAATGTCACATCCATTGGTATTAAAAAATTGTAGTTATCACAACAGTTTTAAATCAAAACAAAATCACACGGCTTTGAGTGGAAGTCCAAAATTAGGTGGACCCACGATTTGGTCATCGCTCAAAATTTTCAAGAACAGACAAAGGAAAAAGAGAAAAAAGAAAGAATCTTATCCCTACCAACACTTTCAATCTGACCACCAAACAGTTTCAAGAAGAATAATTAAAACGCCAGAAATATTAAAACGTCATTAAAAACCCAATACTTGGACCCGTGAACGATTAATAAAACCCATATTATATTCAACTTCATGAATAATTTCCAAAATCCCATTAAAAGGTTTTCACATTCTGGGCGTCTGTGCTATAACTATGAAAATTTAAAAAACGCACGTGTTACCACATGAAAAGCTTGTTGCATGTGTGTGTGTGTGTGTATATATATATATATATATATATATATATATCTCTGTGTGTGTGTGTGTGTGTGACGAGAGAGAGAGAGAGAGATACGAACCAGATGGGTGTAATATGTGTATACGCACAATCTTATATACATATATGAGGTTGGAAGGCTGTAGATGATGAGAAACGAATCTGAAATTACGAATTTTTTTAACGTAAAACTCAGATAACTGGGATTATTGACATCAAAGAATCAATGGTGTGAGGAAAATAAATTGCAGGGAAGAAAAATGGCCGTAATTGTACTGCGGGAATCTGAAATGGAGGGCTCTAATAATTTCCGTGTGATAGAGAGCCGTCCTGATATTGAACTGTTTTATACATAATACACTGTTCCTATCGTATGGGTTTTGACTATTTGTGCCCCTAAAGACAATTTTTTTATTGATTTTGGTCCCCACTCACAAGTTGACCAAACGACTCTGAGTAATGATAAACTGACTTCGATGCAGATTGTAGTAAATGAGTTCACGAGTTGTCTAGATTCGGACGCTTGGGTTTGTACTTAGCTCCATCCAGATGTTCCATTGATCGAGACGATTATTTATTTTTCAAACAAAGGTTAAACCCTAACTTTAAGGGTCCTCCACCACCCCTATTCTGAAGTATCGTGAGAGAGGTAAATCGCAGGTTATGCCTCTAAGGGTATAGGGTGGAAGACTGCTTGTACACTTGCACTTACCCAAGAACCAAATCCATATTTCAGGATTCGAACCTTTGACGCAGCAGCCTCATGCAAAGTTGGATTTCTCCACCATCCCTTTTTACCACTTGGAGATGTGCCTTGGGGGCAATTATTTATTTTTCTCTAAGACCTTTGATTGATCATATCATATTAGGCTTTTATTAGGACGAGTTGTAACTCTTTGAAATATTACACGAGCTTAGTTTGACAATTAAAAACTTGTACCGTTTATATGATGTTGTGTCGAATTTGAGATGCTTACATAAAGATTCAAATATCTTGTAAATAATGGAAAAAGAATGAAAAAGAAAAAGAAAAGAAAAAAACAGTCTTCTTCTTAAATGAAAGGAGAGCCCTTTTCGTTATAAACTGTTAAAAGATGGAAGTAGAGCTAAGCATCAAGATAAAGATTAAGGAACTACTCCTCCATCACAATCAGTGACTTAGGAAATGAGTCATCGAGAGTCAAAAAGCCAACCAAGCTCGGAAGACTGCTAAAAAACCATTGGTTCCTTATAGTCATTTATTTCTTTCTCTTTTATATAGTGACAACTCTTGCTCCCCTACCTTTGGCGGTCTGGGGATTTTTGGTGCGTGACGCCTAGCTAAAAATTCTATATGATTCAACAGATGGTATAGCATCAACGACATATTTGCTCTAGACGAGGCGGATTGCCTTTATACTTTTGAATGCTCTATCTTCAGGATGGCTTGTCGAGACCTCGGTGCTATATACTTAACTGTTAATTTCTCTTTTTGGTAAGTTATTACCTCACAATCCTAATGTTGGCAATACTAGATTAATGGATTTAGCCGATCTGAGCCATCAAAGGCCAAAAGGGGCTTATAAGGCTGTTAACCCTAGTAAGAATCTTCTCTGGGAATTGGCAAGAGGTCTTCGATTCGACATTGGTTTGGCATGGCATAAGATTAGGAAGGGGCCTAAAATAAACCCTGAAATTGGAATGCTTTTGTGGCAAATGAACATAATTTTGTTTTGTAAGATTGAATCAAAACTATTTCAACGTACCTTATTGCTTGTCTTTAACAAATAAGTCAAGATTTTGGCACTGCAAATTTCGATCACATTCGATCAATTTTTTTCTAAAAACTCTTATAAGTAAAAGAATTATTTTTATGAAATTAGGTAAACAGGTTTAAAAGCTGCTTTTGAGTCCCAAAAACTCATTTTGACTTTTTAAAAATAATGTCAAACGGATTCTTAATATCCAAATATAATTCAACCTTTCAACTGCTCGAATATTAGAAGAAGACAACTAAACATGCCTGGAAACTTGACGTGGGTTATTAGGCTACCTAATCCACTATATGGCGGAACTTTTGTGCTAAAAGGTACTAAACACGTAACTATAAAAACATGTTCACAATACGAGGCTATGCTTCCTCTATAAATGGGCCACAAGTGTAGGCCCATTCATTGGCCCATACCGTACAGTCCAAGCCTGTAACCAGAACTAAATATTTATAATCGAGTTAATTATGTTAATGGTCATTGAAGTTATGAATAATCATGCTAATGACCATTATTCTTTTATTTTCTAAATGTACGAATCATCACAAGTAATATAATGATAATTAAAATAAAGTTCTCACAATAACCATGCTCTTAAGCACTAAAATTCACAAGCATAACTATATTTAAACTACCCATTTAAGAAAAGAGAGTTTTATTCAATAAAACTAATGAGTGAACTTGTAGTAAATTAAATAACCTATGTTGTATGTCAGACGATCTTAAATTTTATCTTTAAATTGATGGATAAAAGTGTTATAACTCATGATTTCACCAAATTAATAAATCTTTAATCTTGTTTTTAAGTTCAATTCAAAAGTTCTTATTCCATCAAAATCACTAATTTACTATTTTTGTATGCCTTGAAATTAAATCAATCGTATCTAGCTAAGTGAACTCATTATATCACTATGTGAATTTGAATAAGTTTTAACTAAAACGCATTAAATCACATTTGAATTCAATTAGAGACCACAACAATAGTAAAAATGCATCTCTATCTTAAACTAAATTGATGAATTTTATTACACAGTCTAAATTAATTACTTTTGTCGATTTGTTAGAATCCATAAATAATCATAGAAATATTGGCCAAAATTTGCAAGCATTGACAGAAGAAGCAAATGATGAATAAACTTTGAGATTATTGTAAAAATAAATAGTTAATAAACAGTTGGATATAATTTTGATTTACAGAAAGAGAGTAATAAAATCAGAATGATAATAGTCGAGGCAAGAATTAGACTTTTTTTCTTTAAAACGATAATGCCCTACACTGGTGCTGACGGTCTCTTAACACGCGTCTCCCAAGATACAACGATCCCAAATTGTAATAGTAGCACTCCAAATTATAAGACCCGACGAACCTAATAATATTTTGATTTCTCGAAAATCAGAGGACTAAAATGCACGAATTTAATATTTGGAAATTAAATGCAAAATATGGAATATTGCAGAACGGAAGGACAGTACTTGCAAGAGAGAAAATTAGAAGAAATTTTTTGAAATAAACAAAAATGGGGATCTGAGGGTCTATTTATAAAAGTTAAAAGGTTGTGTCCAAAAGACACAACAGTCTAAAAGTTGTCTGGACAACCCATTTGTGCAGGTAGTAAAAACTGTCAGCAACCGTCAGTTTTTAGAAGGAGCCATGTGTCGCAGACAGAAAATTTAGGGAAAAAATAAATAATATAAATAAATTAAATTAATTAATTTAATAAAATAATATAAGTAAAATATTATTTTAACACAAATATATATACCAATTGGGCCATGTCCAAGTCCACAACCTATGCCCGTATTGAGCTAAGTCAGCTGATCAGATGCGACGACAACGACATGCGTGTGGGCTTTATTTTGACCTACTAGCATGTAGGTCATCTTCCCTCCAAAGACTAGTGGTGCTTTTTGGGGTCCAAACATAAGTCCCAAACTTGATCTATATAAAATGGTTTATATTCTTCTAGTTTTTCTACATGGGATTTGTACTTTCCAATTTCCCATCAATTTTTATTCTTAATTTATTTTAACTTCAAGTGGTTATCTTATGGCTTTAATTTCTCATTAACCCTTAATTACTTTTGAGAAATAAATACATATATCAATCTACTTATGGAGTAGAATACACTTGACAAAAGAAATTATTTATTCAACTAATGTGACTCACTTAAATAATTAGTCAAAGATTGGTCAAGCCAACTAATTATTTCAAATTTTCCAACAGCAAAATCAAACTTTAATAAATTAAAAACTTAAATTTTGAAATTCGAAATTAAGCCCCCGTTTGGTCCCCATTAATTTACATCCCATTATGTTTCATTTTTCTATCTTTTATTTTCAATCACACAATTTACTATAAAATAATATTACACGAAAATCGAAAACCTTTTCTTCTTTTTCAACCACTAATTTAAAAAAAAAACACTATTCCATTCATTTTCATTTCTAGAAAATGGGGACCAAAAATGTTCAAAACTAGATTACGTCATTTGTCCTCACCAAAAGTTTCTTTACTTTTTAAAAGATGGTTGTAAAATTATTGTACTAAAAGTAGTGAGTCATGCTAGTAAAGTAATGAGTCATGTCCTTTAAAGTGATGAGTCATGTCCTTTTAAGTTGTGAGTCATGTCCTTATGTAATAAGTATTGTACTAAAAGTGTTGAGTCATTGATAGTATTATTAGTTTTGTATCGGTTGTATAATGAGGCTCCTCCTCCATATAAGGAGCTCTTATCTTTCATTGAGGATCATCTCGAGTTCAACTTTTCTTAATAAAAAGTTTGTTCCTCTTAACAATGTTCTTCTAAAATCCTTTCTTTGTTCTTGCATAATCTTGATAACTGTGAAAATTCTAGAATGAATAAGTAAGAATAAGATATAAGTAGTATCAAAAGTATGCTTTGCAGTTGTCTTTTTGAGGATCCTCTGCATCAGAAAATTTGGCACTACTGATTATATGATCCCATATGGAGGTTTGGTAATACCGAAAGTTAGGTCTTATGTTGTTGCCCAAAGGGCTTGTTGTGGGCTAGAATACATAGTGTTATCACACCCCCACTATGTTGGTTCCTCCCCCATCTTGGCGACGAGTGGCGCGCGTCAAACACGCCTTAATTGGCCTGTTTGCGTGAACCAGGGCGATCTACCAAAGCAAGTGGGCTGCCATCCACTTTTTCCTGCCATTTAATCCTAAATTGGGCCCAAATTTAGACCCAATTAACTTTTCTCCATTTGGTCCATGTCTCCTAATCCACTATATTTTATACAATTTTACGGATAATTGCAGATACGACCCTAAAACTTTCAAAATGTTGTAAGTTTTTTTCTAACCTTTTATTGTTGTGCCCATGGTTCCAAATCTTTCAAATGCATTTGTGTGGAGCCTAGTGATGGCAAAAGGGCCGAGTAACTCGTCGGCTTGGCTCATGGACGAGCTCGAACCTGAGCTAAGTGAGGGACTCGTTTAGCGAGCTGAGCCTTTGAGCTCATGTGATGTGCCCACAAGTCTAAAGTTCACGAGCCCATGTCAAGAATGCCAACAAAAAGTCAAAAAAATATAAAAAAAACTCGAGCTCGTGGGCTCGCTCGACTTGTGATCTCAGGAGCTCGTGGGCTGAGCCGAGCTCGAGCTTGACCTATATCTAAGTGACGAGCCAAGGTCATCGGTACATGGCCGGATCAGCTCATTGTCACTGCTTGTGAAGTCCAAATGGATGAAAATCGTTCGATCTGCTGTTAGTTGATTGTAAAGTGGTCAATCATCAAATTCAAACTCCTCTCCTCAAACCAGCTCCAAATTTAAAGATGATGCATTTTCAACTATCATTACTTCCTGCCATGCCAAAGGCATCCAAACAAGAAATAAAATCTCAAACCCATAATTTTGCACATCCTTATTCTGTTGTCTTTCCTTGTCAATGTAAAGAAATAGTCAAAAGAGTAAAGCCTCTTGACACATCACATGAATTGCTCTAACTCTCATGCACTTTTTATCCTCTCACTGTTAGAGATTGCATAACCCATGTCAAGATTTGGTCCACTTTTTCGTATGCTTACAACAAGAATGAAAACAAAAGTTCTCTAATTATTAAATTGATTATTGTCTATCATGTCACCTAGCACTTCGGCTTGATTCGGTATGACTATGATTTTAAGAGAATAAATCGGTATGACTGTGATTTTAAGAAAATAAGTTGTCGTTGTGCTGAAGAAAGAATGAGCAGCGGGAACGAGTAAATAAGTATTTGGTGAATTTTTATTTCAAAATTGTTATATGTTTCTAAATCAATATTTTAGTGTTTTATAAACAAAAGTGATATACAAAATTTATAAAATTACAAAATAAAAGCAAAATCTATATAGTGGAAATTTGAAATATCATTTAATTCATGAGACTTGCTACAATTCGGTTCTCAATTTCTCCATTTCCATATAATAAGAAAAGTATCAAATAAATTTTATCTTTAACGTGAACTATAGAATTTTAAATGTTGTATTTACGCTACTTCTCAAAAACCGCTACAAATTCTTCTATAAGCCCCCTTTTTTTATTTAAAAAAAAATGCCAAAAGTAATTTCTGATTCTTAGATAATCAAAAGTCGATCTCTAAAATCAATCTCAAGTGGAGCCGACATACCAAACATCCACATTATGTATTTGGGTGACATGCACTAACTTGCAACATAGAACAACGTAACTTACTACAAGCTCCATATATATAAAACGGAAGCCCACAAAAACAAAGGGAATTGCACTTCTTGAACAAAAGCAAACTGGACACACAGCTAGAGAAACTGTTACAAGAAACATAAGGAAGAAAAAAAAAATGTCACAAATTTTGCCACCCTTTTTACACACTTTCTTACGTATGTTAATTTCTACTCTCTTATCCTCAACCTTTATGCGGAGGACACTGATAACATTTGGTAAAGACTCCAAATGTGTCAATTTGACGTATGAAATTTACCATACTTGCCCAACCTCCAAATCCAAAACCAACAACAAATACCCATACTACAACAAATATGTTCATGGAGTATACGCCACCCCAACCTCCAAGGAATTTTGGTGGTCTCTCAACTGCGTTCTGTGAAAAACAGAAGAAAATTGTACATTAGTCGATATTTAAAATGAATAATTCATGAAAAGAAACATAAAAAAGAAGCAAGTTGGTAAGATAGTATACATATCACTTCGTTTAAAAGTTTAAGTTGTTAGAAATGCTACGTATATTTTTATTTGAATTTTATATTTAACACTTCCCTTTGCTTACTGTTGAATATGTTAAAATCCTACTGCGTGAAATCTTTAATAGATGAGTGACGATAAGACTTTTGCATAGAAATATTATAAGTAACAAGCGGTTGCGCTTAAAAAAAAAAAATGGTAAGCAGTAAATTAATTTCTAAACAAGTGAATTTTGTTAGTTAAAAATAGATTTAAAAACTATGCTTGACAAAATAAATAGGTGGATTACCTCTCGGGCAGGTGCAGAAGCAAAAGTGATCATGTGTGCCATGGCAGGAATTATGTAGACTGTGAAGCTAACCAGAAGAGATCCCACAGTGGAATTGATAGGACCAAAGAAAGGGAAAATAATTGCAATAAACCATATGGGAATAACCACAGGTAATCTTGCTATTGCACGCTTGAACAAGCTTTTTGTGTCATGTACTCCAATGAATTTCTCCCACACAAAGTACAATGGAGTGCATGCAAATCCAAATGTAATAAACTGCACAAAAACAATTGAAATATTAAGAAATAATTTGTTTAGTAGTCAACTTTGAACTAGGAAAAGATTTCATAATATTCTCCATGGCAATTGCACAGACTTCTTCATCTCTTCGGTTCAAAACCAAAAGATTGTTTAGAAATGATGGGCCCAATGTCATCTCCCCACACACAAAAAAAAAAAAATAATAATAATAAGTAAATAAATAAATAAATTTGGGACTTGTTGGGTGGTATAAGATTAATACGTATATAGCTATTTCGAAAAATATGGTCCCACATGTGACTTTCTCTCCACATGAAGAAAAAGCTATGATGCTTGCAGAAAATGATCTATCGGTCTTATATTATCTCCATTATAATGTGATTACGTAATTAATAATGTTTCTTTTTGCAGTTCTTTGTAATTGTTAAGGAAAAAATTTCACATCATTTAAATATAAAACCAATTATCAACATATTAGACTTCCCACAACTCTTAGCAATGTTAAACTTTAACCTAAGATTTAGCCCCTATATGGCGGGGATAATTAAAATCAGAGCTTTAATAGATTTTGATAAAAGTTAATGAAATGTGTAGTTGAAAGTTGTATGTCCCATGAAATACGTGGTTAAAATTAGACTTTAATTTAGATTAAAATTTATATTTTAATCCCTACCAAACATGGACTTAATATGATATAAATTTTTAACCAAAAAAAAAAAAATGCTGAAAACAATCAGATTTTAAGATCGACGTTCTGAAAGGAGAAAATTAGCTTAAATTTGAAAGATTAATTACCTGATGAATGAGCATGAGGATGACAGCAGAGTCTCTAAAACCAGTTCTTGGGAGCAAAGCAAAGGCGTTGGCGTGGTTAAGCAGCATATCTCCAAAAGCCCAATAAACAGCACTAGCCGATGGTAGGGTTAGAGTGAGCACATAAATGGTAGCCAGCAAGTATATTAGCTTGAACTTTTGTGGCTTCCACATTGCATGCATTATTTCCCTAAAAAAAAAATGGTGCACCATAATTAATTTGGGATTCAGCTTTTTTTTTTTTTTTTTTTTTGTTCAAGTGAATTTGTAATCAGATTGGCTGAAAAAAGTATGTCCTTGTTTGATTCAACTAAAAAATTAGATTAAAATCAAAATCAAAATTAATATTTACCTTTAACCACACATTTTATGGAATACATAACTTTTCAACTGTGCATTTTAACCATTTTTTTTAAAAATAAAAATCTACTAAAATCTTATTTTGGCTAGCTCAACTTATGAGGAAAATATTTAAATTCGAGATATTATTGAACTAATAAAATTAATCCTAGAGACCATCATTCGATGCAAAATAACATGAAAATTTTCTCCCTATTGGGTTTAGATAAAAATCCGATTTTTAGTAGATTTTGATAAAAAAAAAAAAAAAATGATGAATTTTGTGATTGAATAGTTGTGAAATCCATGAAATGTGTAATTAAAATTAATTATTGATTTTTTCTTAAATTTTAATCTAAGTCTAAACCAATGGTTTCTGTATAAGAATCAAATTATTATTAATTTTTTTTTATTTTTTTCATATTTATATATGTTGGAATTTATCTTTACGTCTCCTTCTCAAATCTTGTTACCATCCATGTCTTTATCTATTGGATTGCTTAACGTCATATTCTTTCGTAATAAATTAATATATAGGACTTAGTGACAAATATTAAAGTAATTCGCAATAAAATAATAAGTGTTCGTGACAAATCCGACCTATTAATTAACTTTATAGTTGCTTCGATTTCTTAGTCTTGTAAACGAAAATGAAAGGCAATTAAAAATAAGAAAACATTCCACCGGGTTTCGAGGAAGCATGTTGCTTCCAGCTATAATGCGTGCATATGTTATGTCCATATTAGACAAGTATAATTAACAAAGTAAATAGTGCAAACGGTGTGTGGGAGAGAGAGACATTTGAAGACGACCCGATTTAAATAAATAAATTTTATTTAGACTTTTAGATTAGATATGACTGAATCGAATATATAAATATTGAGTTCGAGTCTTATCACTACTAATGAAAAGTTTGTAATATCAAAAAATAATGAATCAAGCCTATCGTAGACGAGATGAAAAGTACTGTTGATGTTATATGTATTAAAGCACGTTCAAAAGAACTAACTTCTTTTAACTTTTCTTTTCTTTTTTCTAAAATATGAAGGGTTGCATCAACAAAAAAAGTTGTAAAGAAGTTGTTTCTTTCCGTCTTTCAAGCAAAGAAATATGTGATCTAATTCGTCACTCTTAACATCTTAAATTTTTTAACATCTAAATTTAGAGAAATTTATTCGACGGTCGAAAAAATTTGAACAGGGCCATTGAGAAACTTACACTGTGACAGCATGCCCACCAAATGTGTAAAGAATGTTTGTGGCCCCAGTGAAGTAGAGAACCATTTTGGCTGGCCCTGAATGCTTCACTCCCTCAACCTTCATGTACACAAATTAGTAAGTACTTAAAAATACTTTATATATGACACAAACATCTTAATTAAAACCTAATCAACCCAAAATCCCACTTTAATATTACCGTTATTAAAACTTTAATAAAATATTTCCTCTTTCTAACAATTTCAGAGTGTTTAACATAATTACAGAGCAGATAAAAGTTTCGAGTTTAAATCTCATTGCTAGTGAAGTGAAAAATGACTCCAACATGCTTGAATTTCGTGTTGAATACTATATTTATATTACGCTTCCCGTTTCTAATAATATAAATATTTAGACAAGATAGTTGGACTAATATCTTAGTGCATGTTTGGCAATGATTTTTCTCTCTAAAAAAATTAATTTTTTGACCGTTATTTCATTATTTCAGTATCATTTTTGACTTCTTCTCCTACAGATAAGATCTACTTTTCTCTTTAACGGTCAAAAAATCAATTTCCAAAATCACTACCGAACAAGCCTTAGTCTAATTGAGATTAATTAGGAAAATATTATATACCTGTCCATGGAGGAGAGAAGCAACAGTTAGGTACCATGCAGTGTAAGTTGTCATGACAAGACCCAAAAATGACCAAATTCTATAGTTGTGGAAAGATGGGATGAAAACAGTAGTGGCACAACAGGCTCCAAATATATACGTCCAAGTTCTCTTATCAAGATTGTCATTTATGTAGTAGATGTTACTGCAACACAAGAATAAAAAAAATCTCAGAAGATATATGTAAGATTGGTTACGTTAACTGGGTCAAAATTAATAATTGCGTATATATTTTCAAAAAGAGAAAAGTAATAAGGGGATCCACCTTGCACATGCAATTAACTGTATCACAGATCCAAAGAGAAGAAAGGTGCAGTTGAAAAAGAGGCCAATATTTCTCCAGTGTTTTCCTAGTAGCCCATCAAGAACTTCAAACCACTGCATCAAAATGAAATTTAACAGAAGAAAGAATTAATTAAATGACCTTAAGAAAATCACAACAACTTAGAGTTCAATATATTGGTAGATAGATTTCTTGAAAAGGAAACGAAAGACGAAATATAAATCTATAGGAATGAAATCGAACGTGCATAAATAAAAATATAAGAGATTAGAAACAATGGAGCGCAGTAATTGAATTAGTAAAATTTCAAGTTTCAGTAAACTCATATTTCATATCAAGTTAGTCGTTAAACTTGTACATTTCTTGCAATTTGATCATTCTATTCATAAAATTACATTGTGATCTAATTGATAGCTTACTTAGAAATTAACAAGACTTTTACGTCACTTTTTCGTTAATCATACAAATGGATTGGTTCTTACCACAAATATTTTTAACCGGTAACTGCCTAAATTTCGAGGTTTCTAAAATCTTAATAATTCAAGATATTTACCGATATATTTCTCGAAATACGAATCCAAAGACCTAACGAAGTCAAATGTAAAGAAATATGTACATACCTGGATTACATGGTTTCTAAAATCCACCTTTTCTCTTTCTTTTCTAGTTCTGTATTCAACGTAAAGAACACTTATAAGATAAGCAGTCCAGCTTCCCATCAAACCATAGAACAGTTGGAAAGTAATTCCAGACGCCATTCCCAGTTGTGAAAATGAGTAAGGCAGTGTGAGAAGCACTTGTGCAACCTACAACATAAAAAAAAAAATACTTATTTTCAAATAATTGTCTAACAGCATGTTTGAACGAGCTTAAAAGTTACTTTCCTAAAAAGTAAAGTAAACATTGTTAGTAAAACATGTAAGATGGAATATCATGTGTGATAAATAAGTAACTTAAAAAGTAAGTTACAAACTCGCCTGATTAGAAGCGCAACTAAACCATGCATCATAGACAGAACCTCCATGCCAAAACAGATTAGAAAACTTGCTTCTAATGGAGTCTGATTTGGGTTCTTCTCTTTCCATTTCTACATAGTTTCCTGCAACTACAGTTTCAACCTTTTCTGAAGCCATTTTCCGTATGTGTGCAATGAAGGGTTTGTAGGGAGTTTATATAAATAGATGAATTCATCAAGATTTCTATCTCTTCTTTATTAGTATTTCTTGAACAATGATTGAGTTACCCTTGTAGGGACCTAGTTAGGTCAGCATTTGTATGTGATTGAGCAATAAATATTTATGAAAAATAAGATTTTAAATGAATATACTTTTCTTTAATAACTTAAAAAGTGATGAGCAAAACTGTATTCATATTTGTGGAAAAATATTAATGATATCTTTTTCAAATTTTGAAAATGATTTAGTGAAGTAATACTAATAAAATGACTTTCATTACTTCTAATTTATTCACCAAAACGGACAAATTAATAAATAGTCCTTAAGTTGGCAAATTTCAACTAATAAAAAATTCTCAAACTAATAACGTGGTCAGCTAATTGATTTTCAGTTTCGTGACTTCCGTTTTGTACGAGAGCGAAAAATTGCAGTCACATTCATTTCTTTATATTTGAATTATTTAATTTGAGCTTCATTTGAATCATATATTTCAGTGAGGAAGTTACAAAAGAAATATGTTTTATTTTGGAATTTTGATCTCAAAATGTAAACGATTGCATAAACATAACTAGAGCTTGTTTGGGAGTGATTTTGAAAATTGATTTTTTGACATTTAGGGGAAAAGTAAAGTCCACCTGTGAGCGAAGAAGTCAAATATAACGGATGGAATAGTGAAATAACGGTCAAAAAATCACTCCCAAACAAGCTGCTAATGACCACATATACCTCAACAATACTCACTCTTTAAAAAGGAAAATTTAACTTATTTTCTAAAAGAATAACTTTTAAGCAAAATTCAACATCCCAAGAAAAATCTTTCGCTTGAACACTAGTTATGGAGCAAGGGTAATGGGCCTAGAGTAGCATGATCGCACGAGCGGGTGTCCCACCAATAGCCCTTCCTTTTTAAAGAACCCCATATTATACACTGATTGATCATGAACACAACTATAGGAAAGTATAAAAGGAGAAAATCTGCTTATTTAAACGATTACAATCAAAGATGGAGGGAATGATTACTTTGGACTAGACTTGAGTGCTTAACATCATTAATCCCACACGTGTGCCAACTGGCTTCACAAAAGATTTCTAAAATCTAATCTTTATTCTTTTTCTCCTACTTTGGGTTCTCTTTCTCTCCCTCACTTTCTCTAAATATACACAAGTACGTACGTATACATACATTTATACAAATCAAGAATTTTTTTAAAAGAACGAGATTTTTAGTTATAACCTAAATTGACATCTTTGTGAGTCGATCCATAAGTATAAAGATCTAAAAATTGACCCAGGATCACGTTAAGAAGCATCGAGTGAACGGCTTAAAAAGAAGCTCCAATAGTACAAGCATCAATCTAGCGGCTTAAAAGGCTCCATTCTTACTAGGACGAAGAGTGGCGAATTTAATGGGTGGGACCATTTACGCTTTTATTCCGGTGAATAAAATTTTTCATTTGGAAATTTTCTACATATTAATTTAGTCTAAAAGATTTTTTTATTTCAATTCTGACTTCGCTCGTGAGAAGGACAAACATGATCTTGGACTAGTATGTTTGGACTACAAATCAAGCATGAAAGATTTAGTTTCATAACTGAAGTTAGTGGTAGGGTTATCATACATGATTATGTGTTTTTCTTTCTATTTACTACTTTTTCTCTCCAATGGAATTGTTTCAATCATGATGAAGGGACAGAATCTAGATTATTACACATTATGTGGGATTTTTAAAAAAATTTTTTTTAGCAAAATTATAAACTTAATATAAAGAAATATAAAGAAATATATATATA